GGAAACTGAGCAGGTCATAAAATGTTTCTGAGAACCTGGATAAATGCCCTTCATGTGATTTAGATTAATGGCAGATTCTATTACATGAACACTTTATAAGTATATACACATGTGTGTAAAGCATTTCAAAAGTAAAAAACAGTTACTAGACTCAGAGAGTAGAATTGTGGACTATTTAAAAAAAATATTACCATTGCAGTGATACTATAATTATTTTGTCTTAATTAAGTCATACTGAAATCACTTGAAATAACTTTTAGAAAAAAGATATAAACTACTTCCCAGGATGTTAAACAACTCTTAAATAAAGATGGGAAATCTTTGCAAATTTATGAGAATAAAAAGAAAAGTCATAAGACTAGAAATGGGGATTGGAGGCATGGCTCAATTGGTAGAGCGCTAGCCAAAGAGCAAAAGCATAAGGAGCTGAGTTTGAGTCCCATCTTGGACCACAAAAAAAGAAAGAAAAGACTAAAATTGAACAATCTAAACTCCACATACAAGAAAAAAATGGGGCTTGTGAAGGCTAATTAGCATTGATTATTGGCAAAATTCTAAAGATCATTTGAGAAAGAAATGTGCATAACAACTAGGATCCACTCAGAATGATACAATATAAACTATATTAAGTTAGTTATTGGGAGACATATTTTTAAAACAAGTGAGTTGGGTTTTTTTCTTCTTTGCCTTTTTGACTAAAGTCCCAGAAGTATCTGAGAATTGAGTTGCATAGAGAACACTTGGATGAGAGCAGGATGACAAATGAACAGGCTGCAAAACAGTCTTTCCTCAGGCCCCTCCAAACTGCCCTCTAATGGCTCCAAAGAATTCCTTTGGTTCTTTTCAGGGAGGCAGTAACAACACTTTTCAACAGGGCTGGGAAAGAAACTGCAGAGAGCCTTGAAAATCAACAGGGCAGATAAATGCCTGGTTCCTGTACAGGACACCTAGCCCAGTCAACTGTGTATTCAGTGAATTATAACCTGCCATAATGCTGTTAAGAGTGGCCTTGCTTTGTAGTTTTCCATTTGTTGTTAGTATTCGTTATCTGAATTTATTATTATTACTGGAGATTGAATTTGAAGCCTCACATTTGCTAGCCTATTGCTCTACCACCTATACCACACCCCCAGCCCTTTTGCTTTCTTTTTTTGTTCATCAAATAGTTGCCTGCATTTGCCTGGTTATCTCATGCCCCAGTTTTCCCACCTCTGCCTTCCAAGTAGTTAGGATTAAAGGTATGAGCCATCATGCCTGGCCATGTTGTTGTTGTTCTTCTTCTTCTGTGTGTGTGTGTGTGTGTGTGTGTGTGTGTGTGTGTGTGTGTGTGTGTGTGTGTGTGTCTGTGTCTATGTGTCTGTGTTGGTCCTAAGCTTGAATTCAGGGCCTGAGTGCTGTCTCTGAAAAGCTCGAGGCTTGAGCTCTACCACTTGAGCCACAGCTCCACCTCTGTCTTTTGGTGGTTAATTGGAGACAAGAGTGTCACAGACTTTCCTACCTGGGCTAGCTTTAAATAGAGATCCTCAAATCTAAGCCTCCTGAAGAGCTACAATTACAGGTGTGAGAGGTGTGAATCAACCAGCATCTGGCAGTTATTATTATTTTTGGGGGGGGAGTGTCCAGTCGTGGGGCCTCAACTTTGGGCCTGGGTAGCGTCCCTCAGCTCTTCAGCTCAAGGCTAGTGTTCTGCCACTTGAGCCACAGCGCCACTTCCGGCTTTTTTTCTTTTTGCTTATGTGGTGCTGAGAAATCGAACCCAGGGCCTCATGCATACAAGGCAAGCGCTCTACCACTGAGCCACCTTCCCAGCCCAATGTTATTATTTTTAATCAAAGGAAATAACAAATATAAAATGTTTCAACATGCACAAAAGAATGGTGGGTTATTATTATCACTACTAGTTTTGGGTGGTCTTCTGTTGGTAGGAATTTATGTTCTGTAGTATACATTTGCACTCAGAAAAAAAGTTTTGTAAAGAGATCCTAATAGGAGAAACCTAAATGTCCCAAAATATGAATATGAAGCCTTAGTCACACACCATCAATGAACAAAAGCACAGAAAATCTTCACCTAATGCAGTGCCATAAGGAAGGGTCTTGAGCAAGTCAGAATATGGTTTTTCTACTAAAATCCTTAATACATCAAGTGTTAGTAGAGGCATAGTTTCCATCTCCTGCTCTTGGGCAGAAGATAAAGCACCTGGCTGGGTGTGTCCTGGTGCCTTGCTTAAGAGCCAGATGTTAACTAGAGCAATCAGCATGGCTGATTTGTCATATATGACATTTTTCAGCCAGGAAAGAAACTACTAAAAATATATTCCATAAGGAAAAATAGTCCTTCTGACAGGTGAGCTGAACAACAGGCATGAGAGAACTTGAGTCTTACTGCCCCAAACCATGTCTCTGCAAGCAAGAGCAACTACTATGAGGGTCTGGAAGGAGGAAGCCTTTTTTCCCACATAGGTAGAATTGGTCTGACTGAGGTAGATGCCTACATGCAGAGATAAAACTATAATCTCCCTTTCACCTGCACAAGCCTGATATTCTAACTGGCCTTTTGGCATCAGGTGTGTAAATGCTATGACAGCCAATGAGAATGAAGGTGCAAACTGTATCTGGCAAACTCTTCTGTCTCCTGCTCTCCATCCAGCACTTAGAGATAGAATAGGAACACATTTGCTGGAGGACCCAGGCTGAAGGAGGAAGATATTGCCTGCAGCTCATTTACCAGAGGCAGGCAGGATCATGCTAAGGAACCAGCAAAGAGTACCAATGGTGACTTCTCTGACCCTGAACTTTCACATACTGATAGAGGCCTGGAAGTGGGCACAGAGCTGACAGGCATCTGACCTCTAGAACTCCTGGGTACCCATCAAAGGTATCCATTCCACACCTGATACAGTATCCAATGCCCATAGCCAGCAAGGGGAAAAGTCCACCTTAGTGCCAGAAAGTGTTTGAAAAGCTCTTCAAACCATTTGCCACACTGCAGGACAGCCCTTTATTTAGATTGTATTTGTCCATGAAAATCAATAGGTCCTTCCTAGTCTTTACTGTATGAGAAACTGTGTCTGTGGCTCTCATCACTCAGTGTTGCCCTGAGGATGGTGTGTAACTGTGCTGTGTTGTCAAGTACCCCGCAAAGCACACCACACACATTAGTGCTGCTTGTGACCCTCCTGAGTGCTAATTTTAAAAACTTGCCTCGCTTTCCAACATGCCTCCATGGTCTGTTTTCAAGGACTATTTTTGTTCTCTTTTCCCACCATGCCTGACAGAGGATGAGTAGCTGTTTTCTGGTCCCCCACAGCTAAGGTAGAGAGAGAACTGTTTTCCCACCTAACTTTCTGCCTCTTTTTGGGCCCATACGAAAAGCACTCTTTACATATACTCCTTGAATCCTTCATTCTCCCTTAGCTCTACAGAGGGGTTTAACATACTTAGAGTAGCCAAATTCTGTCTGACAAACACAGAGATTTAAACAGTCAGTGTTCTGAATTTTAGCTACATAGTCATTGTTCTGAGTTTTTTCTATGCTGCAAAGAAAAAAAAAATGCTCTTCATGAGTGGAACTCATTCACATTACCACTGTTGGAAGGGAGAGGTTGTAGGGCTAAGCTGAAGCAAGCTAGAAGGATCTTTCCAATCACCTTGCAGAACAGTAGGGTCAGCTAAGGCAGACAGCTCCCACAGGACAGAGCACTTCTGACTGGGTTGGTACTAGATTAAAACAATGGTTAAGATGATGTAAGAGTTTCATCTTACACATCATGAACTACACAACTGTTTACTAAAATACATTTCAAGAAGGGGCGAGTATCATGTGTATTGACTATTGTAAACTGTCATATTCCATTCTCACATTTACACAAAGCATTTTAAAGTGCTCAGAACTGTTTCCCCCACCCCACCCCCCCCCCCCGGAAAGAAAAAGGGAATCTATGTATTTATATGTTGTTTAAAATGCAGAAGGGAGAAAAAATAGATTCATAAATAGCTTGACACAATGGCTTTCAGATAAGTTAAGAAAAACTGGAGAATTATAAATGTCTAGAGCAATGAGTCTAACTAGCCCCACAATCACACATTTTTCACAAACCACTTGTGCTGTGTATACAGAATGCAACAGCTCAGCAAGGGAAGACTCAAGACACAAAGTGGGTGCTGGGGTCTTAGTGCTTCAGGCTAGAGTACCTGCTCTCCTAGAACACTGGAATCTTCCTGGCATCCTTCCTCCACTCCAGTGATATTTACTAAAGTCTTAAGAAAACATTTTGAGGGAACACTGGGGCAGCAAAGTCTAAAGTCAAATATCTTTGGAGAGATTGAACAGGAGTGGGGAGGGGGTGGGAGTAGGAAGGGAATTCTCAAAAGCTTTTCTGGCTACAACTTCAATTCTTTCAGTGGCTTTAGTCTGCGTCCAAGCCAAGTGTGTGTTGGCCGACGTCTGCCAAAAAGAACGTCTGGGAACAGGACACTATTTGCATGGATAGATATTTTTGACAGGAGATGCAGGGACAACCAGCAGATGGGAAGGACAGACCAACGGTCCTGGCACCAGCAGACCTTGAAAGAGGTCAGCGGCCTCATTCCCTAGGTGGGCCATCCCTGCCTCAGCGAGTGTGGCACTTAATAGGATGGTGAGGGGGTATTTCAGGCTTTTGTTTTAGGGGAGGGGCGTCCTTTCCATATGCCTATCAGGACAGGTGTCTGGGTGTAAATTAGGAAAGGCTGGTGCCCCCTCAGAGGTGGCTTGCAGCGTCACTGTCACCGCAGTGGATGGACAGCAAAAAGCCCTCGCTTCACACCCAAGTGACAGCAGGAAATTCAATGAATGCGGGGCTCTTGGACACACAGACTAGCATCACTTTGGCTGGGATCTGTTGGGAACCCCCTTCTACCACCCCCCCCCCCCCCCCGTCTGCAGGAAGAGACATACGGCGACCGAAGGGGGAAAAGGCTCATAGAAGGACGCGGGGACCAGGTGTTCGCGGCCCTTACCTTGCTGACCACGTTCTGGACAAGGCCGGTGCGGATGCCATAGTCCCACGCGTGGCAGTCGCAGTTAGAAGCGTTGTCCCCCTTGTCCGGAGGCGACGGGAGAGGCGGCGTGTCCCCTCCGTCCGGACCGCTGCTGTTGCTCCGGTTGCCCGCGGCCCCCCAGGCGGCAGTGAAGAAGGGGGTGGTCGGGGGGCTGGTCCAATTGCTCATGTCACCCCACCGGCCGGTGACAGTAGCCCCCGCCACCTCGGCGCCTTTGCCGGCCCCACGACACCAGAAGTTGGGCTGGTCCAGAAGGAAGGAATCCGAGAACTGGCTGAAGCCGATGAACAGCGCGGGGATCCAGGTGAGCAGCACGAGGGTCTTCTGGTAGCTCCCGCCCAGGCCCCCAAGGAAGGGCAGCACCGACCCGTCGTAGTCCAGCAACAGGAGGCTCGGGGCCGCCGCCGCCGAGCAGCAGCTCGAGTGCGCGCTGCCGCCGGCGGGGTGCGGCGGGGGCAGCGGCTGGATCTCCACGCTGCTGCCGGGGCCCGCGCGTCCCCCGAGGGGCGCCGAGGCCGCCGCGTCCCCGGGCGGCAGGGAGCCGTTCTCCTCGGCCGGGGGCGGCTGCCGGCCGGACCCGCCGCCCGCCGTGTCGCGCCGCCGGTCTATCGCCATGGCCCGGGCCCGCGGCGCCCGCAGAGGCGCATAGAGCGCGCCGGAGCTCGGCGGGCGCCCCGGGCAGAGCGCGCCGGGTCGAGTGCCCGCAGCTGCCGCCGCCGCCGCCGCCGAGGAAGGCCCGCGGCTCGAGAGAGAGAAAGAGACGAGAGAGAGCGCGTTCCGCCGCTCCGGTGCGTCAGGCCGTCCCCATGTCACCCGCCGGTCCCCGCGCCCCGGGCGCTGCGGCCCCGCTCGGGCGCCGGGCAGAGGCGGGCAGAGGCCGGCTGAGCTCTCAGCCGCTGCGGCTCATCCGCTCCGCAGCCCCGGGCGCCGGCAGCCGAGCCGGCCGCTCTCCGCTGCTACGCGCCCGCCGCGGGAGGAGGAGGAGCCGGCGCCGCGCCCGACCCGCGCCCTTGCCGGCAGCTCTGCGGACCGAGGTGCGGACGGGGCTGCGGGAACGAGGCACCCGCTGGTCCCCGGCACCCGGGACGTATTTATCGGACTTCGGGCGCCTCCCGGAAGCCGCGAGCTCGGGACCCAGCCTTCGAGCCGGCCGCGCTCTCCGGCTCCGGGAGCCGGCCTCCCTCCTCGCCGTCCTCCTCCTCCCCCTCCTCCTCCTCCCCGGCGCCCCGGCCCGCCCCCTTTCCCCCCGCGGAGGTGGAGGTAACCGCGGCACCACTGGGTCCCGCTCCTGCGCGCGAGCGCCCTCGCCAGTCGGGACGCGCAGCCGTCGCTGCCTCCTCCTCCCGGGATCCACGGGAGGGGCGGGAGAAACGGGACACCCCGGGCCCGCCGGGCCCCAGAAGCCCTGTGCTAGTCCCCCTTCCACGCAGGGCGGGGCGGGCCAGGGGCTGGAAGAGACGCACGGAGCTGGGGCGGCGGTTAGTAGGGGTCCCCGCCGGATCGGCGCAGGATGGGTGCGTGTGGACTGGGCTGTCACCGCCGCACAGGATCCCCAGCCCACCCCGCGTGCGCCGAGTCTCCGTGACCTCTGTCATTTCCGAGGTGCCCAGCTGCCCTCACCCCCCCCTCCCGGTTCGCTGTCCCTTCGGAACAACCCCCTGTCTGCTTTTTTAAATTTTTAATCTTTGTTTTTCCCCAGGTACAGAGAAGATTGATTTTTCTGTCCACCGAGCAGGTGCCAGGGGGCGCCTTTGCCAATTTCAGGTTAGCAGTCGCCGGCAATGTCCGGTCACCTGCTACCAACCGCAGCACCCATTCCCAAATTGCCACTGCTTCCCCCCACTCGAAAATAAGCACGGTATTCTACCGATATGCACAAGTTATATATATATATATATATATATGTTAACCGCGAATGGTCACGGCCTTCCCCACCCCCTCTCCAAGGTCTTGAATTCACATCTCCAATGCCGTCTGCACAGGCGCACACGTCTACACCCTCACACAAGACAAGCCGCTCCCTACTCTCCCGGCTCCAGTGCCAGCCTTGCACAGCCAGCTCTATATAAATAACACCAGCCCTGCGGCAAACGGACGCATTAGCATATTTCCTCCTGTACCCACGGCCTTCACCAATTATAATTACGTGCCACCTTTCACCCTAGCTTCCCCACAGGTAGGGAGACATTCTGTATTCTGAGAAGTTTATTAATGGACGTCTTAAATGGAACAATCCATTTCTTATTTGGGACGAAAGAAATATGTTTGCTTTCCAAAAGAGTACACTGTAAACCATATATACTGAATGTATTATTTGTTGTATTATTAGTTATTCAGCTGCATATTGTATAATTTAGGAGAAGGCATTTTTTTTAACCTGCAGCTTAATGTTCCAGGCAACACATGCTTACTGCCTAAAATATTGGCACCTGCAAGACAACTGTTCTGAAGGCAGCCATCCTAGGTCCTTGGAGGGCTATGAACTTTCCTGACTGGCTGGGAAGGGAAGATTAGCTAACAATAGGCAGAAGGTACCTAAAGAGCCCAGAGGACACCAAAGGCATGAGGAATGTGTCTAGAAACTGGCACACTCTCAAGAATGTAAAGCTTGGAGTGTTCTTGCCTTCATTCGTTCGTTTGTTCCTTCCTTCCTTCCTTCCTTCCTTCCTTCTCTCTCTCTCCCTCTTTCTTTCTGTCTGCCTGCCTGCCTGCCTGCCTTCCCTTCCCTTCCCTTCCCTCCCTCCCTCGCTTCCTTCCTTCCTTCCTTCTTTCCTTCCTTCCTTCCTTGCTATTTATTTTGGTATTTGGAATGGGACCCCAGGCCTTGCATACCATCTACCTGTTACATCCAACCTGCATTTATCTTTCTGAGTTTAAATATAACATTGCCAATATTATTACTTAGCCTTCAGTGCTGGCTTTTCCAAAAGAAAGATTGTTTTGTGGTTGGTTGTCCCTTTCCCTCAACTGTTCACTGAGATATATAGATATAGATACATATGCACATGTATACTCTAGTGAACATACATATAAATGTGTATACATGTATATATGTGTTTATATGTGCATGTACATGTGTATATATGTATATGTGTGGTGTGTTTATATGTATATATAACCTTACAAATAAGCTTAGCTGTTAATATTAATAACGACAATTCTAGTTAGAATGATAATCAGGACATTTCAAATTCTTGCTGAGGGTAGGAAGTCTGATTATCAGAACAAGTGGTCCTCAATAAAACCATATAGCTGGTTTTGAATCCAGATTGGATTTTTGCCATTTCAACATGCACTGGTCAATTGCAAAACTGTAGAAAAAGGTATGTATTTTTTAAATAGTCATAGATATTTGCTTGAGTAGTACTCATTCCAAAATATGTCAAAATATTCTTGTACATCTTAAAACATATACAAAAGATAGGTTTTACCATTGCAAAATTTACAAAAGGAAAATGAAACAGGTTTGAACTCAGAGCCTCTCCCTTGCTCAGGCAGACATTCTACCCCTTGAGCCTTTCCCCCAACCATTTGTTTTAAGGAATTATTTTCTGTGTGTGGAAGAAGCCCTGCCCTGAAGAAGAAACTTCATTTCAAAGGTATTAGTTCTTATTCCACAAAGGCAGTAAAAATCCCTACATGGTAATTTCCCAGAATGTAGACACAGACTAGGAAATGGTGCCCTGCAAAGTGGAAGCTGAAGGAGTCCATATGAAATGTTTGGAATTCATCACTGGCAGCACTGACACAGGCATTACAATTGCATTGCTGATCAGATTAGAGGTTTCCTCAAATCCCTCTTGGATCAACCCTTTCCCCAGATCTAGTCAAGAAGATTAAAATGTAACTAATTTAAAACAAACTGACCTTTTATTTATTAAGACACACCACAAGTGACCTCACAATGGGACCTAGAAAGGTCCACCAGCTATAATAGGGAAGCCCATCTGACCCTTGCTATCAAATCACACTTCTCTAATTTTCTGAGTAGTGGCTACCATAAACTGCTATTATTCTTGTTTGCTTGTTGTTTGACTACCTCCTCTCTAGGATACAAGCACCTGGAGGAAAAAGTACCTTGTTTCCAGCGATATTCCTAGTAGATCAAACAGTGCCTGAAATACACAGGATTCTCAATACATACTTAGTGAATAAATGAATGTACCAATTTATTATCACTTGATAGTATTAAGATCTTGCAGCTAGCCAGACAAGTAATCCTGTAATCCCAAGAACTCAGGACGGGGAGATAGGAAGATCAAGATTGGGGCCATGCCAGGCAAAGTTATAGAGATCCTATCTTAAAAATAAAACAAAAACAGTAGGGGTTTGACTCAGTGGTAGAATTCTGAAATGCAAGGCCCTCTTTTCAATCTCTATTTTTGTTTTTTTTTTTTTAAGTCATATCAACTGGGAGCTGGTAGCTCATGCTTATAATCCTAGCTACTCAAGAGGCTGAGATCTGAGGATCATGGTTCAAAGCCAAGCCTGGGCAGGAAAGTCTGTGAGACTCTTATCTCCTATTAACCAACAGAAAAACAGAAGTGGCACTGTGGTACCACTTTAGTGGTACAGCACTAGCCTTGAGCACAAAGAGGCTCATGGACAGTGCCCAGGCTCTGAGATCAAGTCCCACAACCAACAACAAAAAAAGTCAGATAATTGGGTTTACTTTGCTTAAATCACTAAGCAGGCTTTTCATATGTGTTCAACTTTCTCAAAAAGTACTCAGATCAGCCAGCATGAGAATTCAAATGAACTTGACAATTATATTTCCTCTTGTAAGGGATTGTGGTTAATTGATTCGCTCCTAACATGAAGCTCTTGTGGACAACTATTACCTTGAAGATGTTTGCTTGTAGGTCAAATGCAGCTCACAGGACATGAGGAATGTTTTTAAAAATATAGCTAGCATTTTAATATGAGGAGACTGAATTTTTTTGTTGTTGTTGGCACTGAGTTTTGAACTTACAACTTTGAGCTTGCTCAGGCTGGTGTTTTACTCCTTGAGTCAAACCTTCAGCCCAATTTTTTAAAAACGATTTTTAGAGATGGACTTTAGAAAGGAACTTTTCTGCCCAGGCTGGCTTCAAGCCTCAATCATTCTGGATCTCAGCCTCCGGAGTAGGTAGAATTATAGGTCTGACCTACCTGTTCCTGGCAGAGACGGAATATTTTTTTTTTTTTTCAGTTCTTTTTTTTTTTTTTTTAAATTTAATTTAATTTTATTTGTGAACATACTATACAGAGGAGTTACAGTTACATGGGCAGGATAATGCGTACATTTCTTACCAAGCATTGCAGCCTCCTCCTTTGTTTATCCTTCACATCCCTTCCCAGCCTCCCCCCTCCCCCCCTAATCCCAATCCTTCTCCCCCCCCCCCCCCCCCCCCCCCCGCACCAACGTTGTAAAGCTCGTTTTGGACATGACAACTTGTACTTCTCATTGTATCCTTAAACAACTGGTTTTTCCCCATCTCCTCCACAAGTTATACTGACATCAAATATAGTGAAAGCAGGGGTTATACTGTGGAGGAGGGACATACAAAGCAACAAAGAGATAATCTTATAAATGTGTTAGAAACACATGCAGGAAAGAAAAAAAACATTAAAATACACATCTAA